CCGCCTCTGCCCCGGCCCCGTCGCGAAGCTGGTGGCCAAACCTTAGCGCTGCTCCCTGCTTTCTTTCCCCAAACCGGGGAGGGGGCAACAAGCGTTTCCTGGCACCGCAGCCCCTCTCTTAACCAGGAACGCTTGTTTCTGCCCTAGAGGAAGAGAGGAGGTTGTCCCCTTGGCTTTGGGGTTCAGTCACTGCAGAGATGTGGGAAAGGGGTCTCTTATTTCCCAGCTCTGCATTTTTAACATGACTGCATTCGTATCAGACTCATTTGGCTGTTGCAAAAACTGATGTGACTGCAGGCTGGCCAGTGCACAGCGCTGCAGTGGTTGCGTTCCGTTTTCATGTTAACACGGGGACTTATTTAACAAAACTAATGTGCTGAAGTTCTTAAAACATTTGCTGTCTAGAACCCAGCCACCACCTCGGCTCCCAGTGGGTCCCAGTCACAAGTTTGCAAATAACTATTATTGCACCCGTGATGGACGCAGGGAGGCTTTTCCGCCAATTGTTGTCACGTCAGCACAGAAAACCCTTGCTGCAGGGGCTCAAGCTGGCAGGTAGGTCTAACCTAGTCTGTCCTGCAGTTTTATAGCTGTGACTATGTAAGCTAGGCAGGGTTGAGCTTAGTTTGATGTGCCTGGATGATCCCTAAAAATATAGGACTCTTCCAAAAAATAGTTTTTGTATTTAGCAGGTTAGTAGAATACTGAACTAATTCTTTATTTCTGTATCTCCTCTTGAATAAGTAAGCAAGTTGGTTGAAAGTGGACTTACCTAAACTCTCTAGGAATAATAAAACCTGTACACCTGATGAAATCTGAATGTTCTTTATAAGCTGTTATTAAAACCTAGTCACCTCTCTCTTCCTTCCTCTATCCCAGTTCAGGGTCTGCAGTGACAACAGCTGAGAAAAAACCAGTGACACCAGGGCCAGCACTTAAGAAGTGGGAGCTTTCAAAAGACCAGCCTTATTTGTGAGAAATAAATACAATGAGGCTGGAGGTACTGATTGTACAGGTCATAGTGCTGCTTTTTAATGAACTCTAATTTGGAAGCCCACATTGGATTTAGCTACCATGATGCTGTCTGTATTGAATTTATCCTAGTTTTGCTGGTGCATGACTAATAAATATATTTAAAGCTGTGATGTTCCCCATTTTGTCTGTTCTATTGGAATTACACAAATTACTTATTTTTAATATTACCTTTAGCATAAACGTGTTTTCTTGAGGGAGTAGCAACATAGTATACCATTTTGAGCTTTGGCTCAGAGGATTTGCAAGTTAATTGTATGTGATGATAACTAATCCAAGGTAAGACCCCTAAATACAGTTAGAATATCACTTAAGGACAGAGTTGAGCAAAACGTGCCTTAGCCCAAAAGGACCTGATACTCTGCTTTATTGGTAAAAGACATCAGTCAAATAGGATACGGCACTCAGTCTAGAAATACTCATTTCCCAGCGACCTCAAAGTGAAATAACCAGTTTTAGTCTTAGTTTGTTCTGACATTACATCTTTAAGGCTGCTATTTAAGAAGAATGGTTGGATACAGATGTTGCTATAAAGCCTGCTTCATTCCATGCCGTATGTGCGTCCTCCAAATGTATTTGATACTTAATAGCTGCTAGTGCAGGGGAATCCAGGCACTTCTCCCTATGGTTGTTAAAAGTGAAAGTCAATCACTGCTAAAGACTATTCTAGACTCACACTTCAAGTGCCCAGTATCCTGGTCAGCCTAGCCTGCTACAAATACATACTCTTCAGTTACAGAGTACATTAGTCCTGTCCATCCCACTGACAACAGGTTGTTGGGGCTCATGCTACAGGGCTCAGGCTATTACAATGAGCTACACTGATTGTTTCTCAGGGAACTGCTCGAGGATGTCTGTTCTCCTGCAGCTTTTGGAAGATGCAGCAGGAGTGTTGCACAGTTTATACTCAGTCCTTGCAGAGTCAGCTGACTGAAAGCAGCGCTTAGGTTTTTATCCCGCTGCCTCAGCAGGGCCAACCAATAAAGCCTAAAAAATCTCATTTGGAGAGTAGAGACAAAAGTAGATCTAACTCAACTGTGCAGCGAATGCTAATTAAAAGGCTGGCAGGAGCCAAATAATTTGCAAAAAGCTGTAATTGGGGAAAGCTTGTTTTACATAAATGATCCTATTTGACAAGCAGTGCGTTTCCACCAAGAAACCTGGCTGCCTTCCTGTAAAGCCCTAGTGATAGATTTTATCTAGTCACCGATGGCAACAAGCAAGAAAATGGCACTGATTTTGCCGCGGTGCTTTTTCTCTCCGAAGCTCTGTAGGAGAGCCGGGGGCGGCACGGAGAGCCCCTCAGGCTCGGTCCGTCCGAGGGGCGACGGGACCTGCCTTGTCAGACCGCTCCCGACAAGCGGACGTGCCCTGGCCGCCCAGCGCCCCCCGTGAGGAGACCGGCC